TTTCATCTTCTCCTCCTCTCCCTCCCTTGTCTTTGCGGTGACATTTGAACCTTTTCTAAAGCTCTCGCTGCTCATCCTCTGAGTCTAATAACACAAAAACCTCCAGATTGTAGAGAAAGATCAAAGTCGGCAAATGTAAAAAGCTCTCAAATGTAACTGCAGCTCGTGGTTTTCTTCATTAGTCGGATTCAAACGGCAGATCTGTGCACCGCTGATGTAAACCAATTACACAATTTCATATAAAACAGTTGAAATTTAGCATGGCTATAATGAACTTTATGCAAATTCACACATCCTGATGTTAATCACATGCAAAGAACTTCTTTAATCACGTTTAGAGGAGTGATACAATCCTGTTCCTTCAGCTATAATCTACACCCTGGAGTCGTTAATTTATGCGCACACAAACACCAGGCTATGCCCACTTTCATCACGTTCTGCTAACAGCTGGGATTTCATCATGCTTCCTCCGTACTACGGGGAAACATTAGTGCCTTTACTGGAGTCCCACACGCACCGGTATCTGTGAGGTCTGCTGGAAACCCAACCACCAGCCAAGCGCCTCATCAGATCTCTGAAGGCGTTTTAATTATTGAAAACACACAAATCATTCATGAGGCAACAACCCAAAAGTAAAATGAAATAAAACAACAAGCAGAGTGTAGGAGGCATTGTTGTCACCACCAGAGGGCGTATTGTTTTGTTTTCTGAGTGTCTGAGGGGGAAGGCTTATTTAAGGTCCATTGTAATGGTGTTCAGGTGTTGACCATTGGGAAGAGGACGCAGTTTTTACTGTGTTTGGTTTGAGGGTTAGAAACGAACTTTTATGTATGTAAATGGAAATTATAATAAAAGACTTTCATACTAAAGAAGATCAGTATTCTGAAACTTTATCTGAACGCACGTAAAAACAAACTACACCCAGAGGCAACCACTAGTAGCCCTAAGTAGACCTTTCTCTTTGGACGCTACACAGAGAGAAACAAAAAATTAGACTAAAGGAAGAGTCGCCATAATTTTACTCCAGTAAAAATACCTGGAAAAAGTTTCCTAAAAGAGCCGCTCAAATGATCAATCATTTAATATTTATAAATTACACACAGAACAAAAGATAAAGTTACTTGGAGATTTTGGTATTTTAAGAAGCAAAATGACAATAATTCATATGAGAAACAAGAAAAAGTTTCCAATCAGTTTAATTCAATAAAAACTTGTTAAACTTGAAGCTGCAGGTTTGAGTTTATTTCTGGTTAAAACATGTTTGATTTTCATTCAGTGGGAAGAAAATCTAGAAACTTAACTCAAGCAAGAGCAGAAATACTTTATCATAAAACAACTCAACAGAAAGTTGAAAATAAAATACTCCTTATAAACAAGTTACTCCGGTAAAAGTTATTGAGTAAATGTGACAACCTCCAGCTGTGATGTGCAAATGGTTCGTAAAATATCATTATGATTCCACAGCTTTATGATTTAAAATCAATATTTTAGAGGAAATGTTGATTTTATTGTGAAGTATTTCTGCTCTTACTGAATTTTCGACCCACTGAATGAAAACAAACATTTTAATAAAAAGTAACCAGACTCTTTCTGATCTGGAAACATTTTCTTTTGCCTGATATTTATATGATTTTTTTGTTCCTCATGTGAATTATTGTCATTTTTGTCCTTCAAATGCCAAAATTTCCACTAAATATTACATCAGTCTCATGATGTAATTTTTAAATATTAAATGATTGATCATTTGATCAGTTGGGTCGACTTTTTACCAAATATTTTTTTACGTTTACTTGAGTAAAAATATGTTTGTTGCTCTGAGAGTCATCCTGATGATCAGGACAAATTTCTGCATGATACTTTTTCCTTGTGAAAGATTGAATCCTTCCTGTAGCTTCCTGTAGCTTTCTGCAGCTTTCTGTAGCTTTCTGCAGCTTCCTGCAGCTTTCTGTAGCTTTCTGCAGCTTTCTGTAGCTTCCTGTAGCTTTCTGTAGCTTTCTGCAGCTTTCTGTAGCTTCCTGTAGCTTCCTGTAGCTTTCTGCAGCTTCCTGTATCTTTCTGTAGCTTTCTGCAGCTTTCTGCAGCTTCCTGTAGCTTTCTGTAGCTTTCTGCAGCTTCCTGTAGCTTTCTGCAGCTTCCTGTAGCTTTCTGCAGCTTCCTGTAGCTTTCTGTAGCTTTCTGCAGCTTTCTGTAGCTTTCTGCAGCTTTCTGCAGCTTCCTGTATCTTTCTGCAGCTTCCTGTAGCTTTCTGCAGCTTTCTGCAGCTTTCTGTAGCTTTCTGTAGCTTCCTGTAGCTTTCTGTAGCTTTCTGCAGCTTCCTGTAGCTTTCTGCAGCTTTCTGTAGCTTTCTGCAGCTTTCTGTAGCTTTCTGTAGCTTTCTGTAGCTTCCTGTAGCTTCCTGTAGCTTTCTGCAGCTTTCTGCAGCTTTCTGTAGCTTTCTGTAGCTTTCTGTAGCTTCCTGTAGCTTTCTGTAGCTTTCTGCAGCTTTCTGTAGCTTTCTGCAGCTTTCTGCAGCTTCCTGTAGCTTTCTGTAGCTTTCTGCAGCTTCCTGTAGCTTTCTGCAGCTTCCTGTAGCTTTCTGCAGCTTCCTGCAGCTTCCTGTAGCTTTCTGCAGCTTCTTGTAGCTTCCTGTAGCTTTCTGCAGCTTCCTGCAGCTTCCTGTAGCTTTCTGCAGCTTCCTGTAGCTTTCTGCAGCTTCCTGTAGCTTTCTGCAGCTTCCTGCAGCTTCCTGTAGCTTTCTGCAGCTTTCTGCAGCTTCCTGCAGCTTCCTGTAGCTTTCTGCAGCTTCCTGTAGCTTTCTGCAGCTTCCTGTAGCTTTCTGCAGCTTCCTGCAGCTTCCTGTAGCTTTCTGCAGCTTCCTGTAGCTTTCTGCAGCTTTCTGCAGCTTCCTGTAGCTTTCTGCAGCTTTCTGCAGCTTCTTGTAGCTTCCTGTAGCTTTCTGCAGCTTCCTGTAGCTTTCTGCAGCTTCCTGTAGCTTTCTGCAGCTTCCTGCAGCTTCCTGTAGCTTTCTGCAGCTTCCTGTAGCTTTCTGCAGCTTCCTGTAGCTTTCTGCAGCTTTCTGCAGCTTCTTGTAGCTTCCTGTAGCTTTCTGCAGCTTCCTGTAGCTTTCTGCAGCTTCCTGTAGCTTTCTGCAGCTTCCTGCAGCTTCCTGTAGCTTTCTGCAGCTTCCTGTAGCTTTCTGTAGCTTTCTGTAGCTTCCTGTAGCTTCCTGTAGCTTTCTGCAGCTTTCTGCAGCTTCCTGTAGCTTTCTGTAGCTTTCTGCAGCTTCCTGTAGCTTTCTGTAGCTTTCTGCAGCTTCCTGTAGCTTTCTGCAGCTTCCTGCAGCTTCCTGCAGCTTCCTGTAGCTTTCTGCAGCTTCCTGTAGCTTTCTGCAGCTTCCTGTAGCTTTCTGCAGCTTCCTGCAGCTTCCTGTAGCTTTCTGCAGCTTTCTGCAGCTTCTTGTAGCTTCCTGTAGCTTTCTGCAGCTTCCTGCAGCTTCCTGTAGCTTTCTGCAGCTTCCTGTAGCTTTCTGCAGCTTCCTGTAGCTTTCTGCAGCTTTCTGCAGCTTCCTGCAGCTTCCTGTAGCTTTCTGCAGCTTCCTGTAGCTTTCTGCAGCTTCCTGTAGCTTTCTGCAGCTTCCTGCAGCTTCCTGTAGCTTTCTGCAGCTTCCTGTAGCTTTCTGCAGCTTTCTGCAGCTTCCTGTAGCTTTCTGCAGCTTTCTGCAGCTTCTTGTAGCTTCCTGTAGCTTTCTGCAGCTTCCTGTAGCTTTCTGCAGCTTCCTGTAGCTTTCTGCAGCTTCCTGCAGCTTCCTGTAGCTTTCTGCAGCTTCCTGCAGCTTCCTGTAGCTTTCTGCAGCTTCCTGTAGCTTTCTGCAGCTTCCTGTAGCTTTCTGCAGCTTCCTGCAGCTTCCTGTTGCTTTCTGCAGCTTTCTGCAGCTTCCTGTAGCTTCCTGTATCTTTCTGCAGCTTCCTGTAGCTTTCTGCCGTCTTTGTGTTTTGTCCTCAGAAACCTGCAGCAGATCTGCGGAGCGTCAGGCAGGTGAGTGTTTTAAAAAGCTCTGTGAGGTTTGCGTTGTGAGATGAGGAGGAAGAGAACATCTGCCGCGGCGGGTCGGGCGTCGCTTGAACGCCTCCAGCCGTGACGCTAATGGGAACGGGCAGCAAACTGGGGCACACTCTGCTAATGGGCCTCTCAAACTGGGAGGACTGGTGACCAGTGTCTTGCTTTGCCTCAGACTTTATCCTTCTTGTTTCTGTTTTTGCTTTTTTAGAGTTTATTCAGAGTTTTTCCTTCTTAATTGTCTCTGATTAGTCGGTTTCTTGTTGTTACTACTTTTCATTTTGACTTTACAGGAATAACAATTTGGATTTTGATGATTAGAGAAGAAAATACAAGAAATAATGTGACTACACTCTTAATTTGAGTTTTTTTATTGATTCATTTACAACATTGGCTTCAGCATTGAAGCATGAAGGTTTGGCTCCAATAAAATAACTTATATTATGGAAAACCATAATATTTGGTTTTCCAGACCAAATGACATGAAGTGTACCCAAACTATTGCTTCTCGTCAAAAATAATTGTTGCAAATTTCTAAAATAACAAACAAAAAACTCTGAGATGAAATAAATGTTCATTTCCAGGACATTTTGTTGTCTTCATCGTTCCTCTCCTCTGTCGATAAGAACAATATGTAAACTGTTTTTCTGTGTAAGAGAATTTAGTTTGGCTTAGTCAGTGTTATTTTAAATATATACACTAGCTTGGTGCTCTTGGGGGCCCTCTGGTGGTGTGGGGGCTCTAAACAGCCGATTAACTCGCGTATGCTTTGGGCCGGCCCGGCTAATAACAGGACATAAACCAGAAGACACAAACATTTTCTGGAAAATGGGCTCAACTTTGAGATCCCAAAGATCTCATCCTTCTCCTGAGATTTATTGTGACATAAAACCCCTGAACATTTTTGTTGGGTTTGTCGTTGCGTTTCCTGTAGAAGCTCAGCTGAGAGGAGAGGAAGAGGAGCTGATGAAGAGCGGAGCTGAGGAAGAGCGGAGCTGACGCTTTGCTTTAAACGATGTGGACAGGTGAAGACGAGAGGGCGTCAGGTCAGACTGAGGAAACGCAGCGCAAACAAAGTCTGAGACCAAGTTAGTTTCTCATGTCACTCGTTTCTTTTCTGCTCATTCCATAGAAAATCAATTCCATTCGATAATAAGGAATCGATGGCGGTTTTATTGTTTTTAGTTAAAAAATGTAAACAAAAATGGCATAAATTCAAAATATTTGACCTGATGAATCCTGACCCAGCACATAAAGTTCAAAGATTTATTTCATTTTGTGTGTTTAGTGTTGGGCATTTATTTATTTATTTTTTTTCAGTACAGATAAAGTTGGATTTATTGTGATGATAAATTAAAATTAATGTTCAGAAACAGACTAAAATGTTATGTTTTACTATTTTTTCCCCTTTTTTCTATAAGAGCAACAATAAATGTCAGTAAATTTGGAAACATGATTATATAGATTATCTGTGTGCTAGTGATATAAATCACACTAAATTTAATAAGTGGCTTATTTTAAATAGGGATGTTTTCAGACAGCAGCATGTATGTTTTTGGCTCTAGGATAATTCTGTGCCATGCAGTTACAAAATACTTGTAAAGAAATTTGTATCATTATTTCTAGTACTGCAGGATTTTGTTCCATTAAATCTTGGGTACTTATTTTTTTAAATTACAATAAAAGTCTGAGAATGGTGGGAGAAAAACTAATTTCATCTGAAAAACATGTCCAGCATTTCAAACCAGATTCAGAGCCGGGCCTTCTGGGGTCATAGATACAATAAATATGCTGAGAAAAAGCAAACAAACTGAGATTTAATCTTTATTTCTAGATGCCAGATGCAAAAAACGGTTTTAAATGTGCTTCAAAACTTAAGTAAACAGTGATTGAAAGCCTCAGCAGAGAGGAACAGGTGGAGGTCTCCCTCTGTTGCTTTTGGATGATGCACCTGAATCAACTCCTGCAATGCATAAAAATTGATTTTTTTTATCCTAATCAATGCAGTTTAAGAATCTGCCAACCAGAGCGGGACTGAGGCAAATCAATCAGCAGAGCTGTGTGGAATACCAGAGTAAGTGGTTTGTTCGCGCTGACGGATGAATTCTTCCTCCTCCTGCAGAAATGAAGCATCAGGCTCCAGGCGGCCATCTTGAACAGAACCAGAGAGGACGCCTGATCGGGTCGCAGCAGAGAGGAGGAATCAAGGATCAGAACCCGACGGCGGATTAACTTGAGCAGCAGAAAACCCAACATATTTAAAAAGTAAAGGTAAAAAGTATTTGATAAAAAGTCAACTCAGGTACTGATGAGCTGATCAAATTATCAATCAATCTATGAAAGTAAAAGTTGAGGTAAAAATTATCCTTTTCAAAAAAGTAACTCCAATACATGTAACTGAGTAAATGTATTTTATCAGCCATAGTAGAACTGAGAGATTTATAACGATGTAAAGGTCAATAACTGATCAGGTTTTTGTTTTCAATATCACATTTCCTGCTTCATCCAGTTTTCACTCCTTTGTTTTTCGTTTGTTAGCTGTGAGAAGCTAAGCGGCTAACGTCTTTCCTCTGCCTCCATCTCCCAGAATGCTGTGCGGTTCTGGATCAGATTTCAGTGAAATTACTGAAACTTTTTTCAGATGTTTTATCAATTGATATTAATATTGATGTGCAATAAACCATTAATTAACAGTGAAACATATTTTTTCCAGATTTTCCGAGCTTTAATTGACGCTCCTGATTGGTGGCTGATTTAGTCAGAAAACACAAGATGATCGTTTGAGTTGCAACGTTAACAGTTTTCATCTCAGCAAAAAAAAAAGCTTATTTTTTTCTGTCATTCTGTCCTTCTGTGTTGTCTTGTTTATTCAAATTAAATTGTTTGTCTCTCTCCGTATTAATTATAAACTACAAACATTTAGTGAACTGGTTGTTAAAGAACCTTCTTCCATCTTGTGTTTTCTTTCTGTAACTGTTTGAGTCTCTGCTGCCTCTGTTCTCTCTCTGTCTGGATTTTCTTTTTCATTTTTATTTCTCACAGGGCAATATTTCCAAATTGGTTCTGGTTTTGGAGAAATGTCTGAAATCCCAGAGACAGTGATGCTCTAAGATGAATTAAAAGGTTTGTAATCAAAAGATTATAGAGTTTTTGTAAAATGTCATTTTTCAAAATGACATTTTGAGCCACAGAAACTCATCTGACTGATTCAACTGAATCTCTAAAGGTTTTAGATGGCAGTGAGGTCACAAAGTATTCTTTATTTTAAATGTTTGTGATGTAATTGTACTGTTTCAAGTGTAATTGTGCAAATTTTTATGTTTATTAAAGAAAATACTAAGAAATAATGTGACTTGATTTAAGCATTTATGTTGATTTATTTAGACACATTTGGTACTTAATCGTCAAACTCCAATTAAATAACATTGATGAGCAAATCATTAGAAATCTATTTCTGTCACCAAGTAATAAAAACACTAAATCTTACCATCTTAGTTCCCTTAAAGTAAGATAAATAACTTACAAGTAACATTTTTAGTAAGTTATATGAGCTTGTTTTACGTCAACAATTATTGATGAAAATGTTTGAGTTTCACTGGCAGAATATTTTACAGAGAACCGTTACCTAGCAACCCCGGCCACGCCCAGCCCGTTACCTAGCAACCCCGGCCACGCCCAGCCCGTTACCTAGCAACCCCGGCCACGCCCAGCCCGTTACCTAGCAACCCCGGCCACGCCCAGCCCGTTACCTAGCAACTCCAGCCATAGTTCCACTGTCAGATTATTTGACTTTTAATCTGGAAAATGTCTTGATGAGGGAAATAATCTGCCAATGGAACCAGAACATTTTCATTGATAATAAGGAATTATTGGAAAGTATTTTAGTTTTGTTCTACAAACTAGACCAGAAATACTTGGTGAGATTTTGTGTTTTTGCAGCGAACAAACAAAAACCTTTTTGATATTAAAGGAAATGTTTTTGCAGGACTTTCGGCCGTGTCTTTCCTCTCTCCTATCACTCTGTAAAAATGTCTCAGATGATCAAACAATGTCTTTTCTCTCACATGGCTCGTTCTGGATTACTCACCTGTTCCTCCCTGCAGGCCTATTAAGCCTCTCTACAGTCATGGCCGCCGCCCGGCCGCCGCCCGGCCAGCTCTGCATTCATTATGGTCATTAACTTCTGGACTGAAAATGAATGGTGGAATAATACAATTCAGAGAAATCTGAAACTGCCTTTTACCAAGGGGCCGTATGAGGATAGCAGGCAATTTCACATCTCATTCGCCAGAAGTGTTCTTATTGAATATGAGACGACTGGGAGAGGAGAATAGCAATGTGGTTCCTTACATTTCACCCGGATAGATGGAGGCCGGATGTCTGTGCGCTCCTCCCCATGTATCACACATCGCCCTGGCTGGACCCATTGTTGGAGATAATATGCTCTTAAAAGCTTCCTTTCTCTTCTGGGCTGAAAACAGGATCCTCCATTCAGAGCGAGTCCTTTACCTGCCCCCGCCAACCAGACAGCGGCGTTAGTTAATTTTTCAGGAGGACGTGCAGCATTGTACCGCCGCTCATTTCAATCTCAGCCGACAAGGAGTCCCTGTCGTCTTTGGGCTCTTTTCTCTGTTCTGATCCATCAATAAAAACAGGGCCAGGTAATGGCTTATAATGGCTTATAATCCTTTCAACCCTCTGCTGACCTTCTCCCTGAGATCCATGGAAATGAGTTCACACACCAGGACTATTTGCTCCGTCTTTCCTGTGGACATGAAATCCTCAGCAAAACAAAAGATTACACTTTTCAGCCCATCACGAAAAGCTGAAATGAGAAGATTTTTCCTTTGGATTTGAATCAAACAGGCTGCAAGGCCACAAATCATCATTCAGATTTTTTATATATGATTTTCTTTTATAATGGTACTACTGCAAAAACACTCAATTTTACCAAGTAGTTTCTATTTAAAATGAGATCAAACCAACTTCAGAGGGCAAAGTACCAAAAAACAAATAAAAAGAGCAGCTCTATTTCAACATGGTTTAAAATCAATAACTAAAAGCAGCCGTCCAGGAAATTACTAAGAGTAAAACATATCTGGTAAAAACTCAACTCAGCTTCTAACTGATCAAATTATCAATCCTGTAACAATTAAAAGTGACATAATCAGAAGGACCAAAATATAAAGTTCAGCAGGAATCTTGGTATTTTAAGGTCCAAAATGACAAAAAGAAACAAAACTAGGCAAAATATTTTTTTTCCCAATTTAGTTTCTTCCAGTTTAAAACTTATGAAACTTTAAAAAACTGCAGGTGTGTCTTTGTGGCAGAAAACCCAGAAGTTTTACTTCAGTAAGACCAGAAACACATCATAAAGAGGTTACAAATTAATTCCCAAATCTGACTGACTTACATGGAACATTTCAGATACATGAGCTTTTTGTAAGCAAATTATTCCTGAATATTGATTTATAGGTGAAATAATCTGCCAGTGGAATCTGTGACTCTTTATTATTTCTTAAATCAAGCACCTATTTGGTCCTAAAGTTAGTTTTCTTACTTCAAATATATTTGTCCTAAAAACTGGATCAAATATACTTGGTAAGATTTTGTGTTTTTGCAGTGATTGATGCAAATTTGTTGATGAGCTGAAGGTTCAATTCCAGCTTCCTTCTGTCGCATTTCCCTGAGCAAGGCACTTAACCCCAGGTTACAATCTGTTTATTATTGTTACAATCTTTACATGTTGGTGAGAGTTAATGTATTTACTGTTCATAAGAACCGAGCAGGCAGATAAATGAGACGTTTCTGTGTTTTGGTACCAGCAGAAACAGCCAGGTTTGTTCAGGATGTGTAAGTGTGTTAACATTGATCCAGGCCTGCTTTGGTGACAGGGACTGAGAAGAAAAGCATAAATCCTATTTTATCTGGCCTTTATTTGGTCACCTGTCAACATCCATATTGATTTCAGTCTTTTTTATGAAAGCTTTGATATGTTTCCAGTCTATCAACCTGGACAGGTGCTTCAAGTTCTCTGGAGATTTTTTAACAAGTAGGGAAAAAAACCAATAACTCAGATTTTAGCTGGTATTTCTTCTTCTTGTTGTTGTTACATAAATCATACGTTTTACATACACAGAATAAAATACATTTTTGTCTCTCCATCTGAAGTTATATCAGACCAAACTTTTCTTGGTTTGGATTCATTTTTTTAAACTCCAGAAGTTGCAAAGAACAGTTTGAAGTTTGTACAGATTATGATTAAGAATAATTGTCTTTAAATAAACTGTATGAAGAGCCAGTTTTCAGGCTGCTTTTCCTTGTAAGATCCACCTGAAATGATTGTGATCAGGGTTTGTAAACACCAAAGCATCGACTTCGTTATCTTTAAGCCACTTTACAGCCAATTACCTGTGAGCTTTGGGTCACTGGCTGTTCGGAGGAGCGATCTGTTCCCAACCTTATCTTTCTGGTTACATGTGCCTAATAAAAGCTGAATGTACCATGATTAAATATTGAATAATGCTTAACTCGACTATTGACATAAAAGCAAAATGAAAACCTTTCATCAGAGTGTGCAGCTTAAATTGGTCTCATGCCAGTAAACAATGCATGATGACTGCTGCTGTCCTAGCAACACTGACTCCGGTTTGTGACTCCAACAGTCACAAACCGGAGTCATTACTCTAAATAACTTTGCACTCAGATGAAAAGAGATGCTAAACTTAGCAGAGATTGTATACATTGCAGAGCACATAGTGAACGACTAACGCTGCGGATGGCTGTTCATGGTTCCTCATACCTGGGAAAATGACCATAAGAAACCAGCATTGAAAGTGAAAGATATTTCTGTGCTTATTCTGAAAGTATTTACTTGAAAAACAAGATCATGGTTACAATCAGGAAAAGTCAAAGGATAAGTTGGCTCACAGTTTTAAAAGTGTAACTGTATAGAAAGTTAGATGCTTTAACTTGTTGGCTCACTTTGATCATTTTATCTTCTTACCTTTGTGTAAGTATTTCTGAACACAGCAGTGATGGATTAGCTCTACTGTTAATCTGTCAGAGAATTGGTGGTGGGGTTGCCTTATTTTTTTAATTAACTGAAACACAGAGTCCTGCAGAACATCTACATGTTAAGGTTGTCATAGTCAAGCTAGCATGACTGATCTACTTCCTTTTCTGTTGCTACTTTTTAGTTAAAACTTTTTTCCTATCTTGTTTTCTAGTTGTAGTGTTGACAATTAGTAGCAACACTCTGTGATCCTTTTCTTTTGTACATATCACACATATATTTAAGATTTACTGCGATATGTTGACATCCTGACAGCTAACACCAATGCTAATTGTCGTAGCGAGCAGCGTTTTGCCCTGAAACACCAACATGGGGGCTGTATCTTAAGCATGTGACGTCTTAAGCATAAACCATAAAGAAGCCAGCATACAGTATCTGAGTCTGTGTTTTTTCACTTTCCTTTCAGTGTCTTCATTTGTAAGAATCTATTTCTCTGCTTCCAAAAATTCCTGCACTAAAAAGCAAAGCCAAAGCCGATGAGTCCAGCTGTCTGCTGCTGCGTTGACCAATGCACCAGATGCTTCACCTTCCTCCATGATGCCTCCCGTCCCCTTGCAGTGAACACATCCTGGATGTGCCCCCTGACTGTCTAATGTTGCCTCTCTCGCATCGCCCATCAGTGTTCATGCGTGTTTCTAAAGCAGACGCCACCACCTGGAAAATCACTGACCTTTATCTGCTGTCTCCGCCCTCCATCAGACAAAATGGCTTCTCATTAATAGTTCATTGAATGACTTCCTTTGTTTCTCCCTCTGTTTTCCCCAAACACTTGTTTTCAGGTAGTTGCCTCACAATGTGCACTCATTTACCCCCAAAGCTCACCATTAACCTTCGGAGAAGCAGCTCAGCTTTCAATTGTTTTCAATTTCCCCTCTTTGATTTCATTTATTTTATTCGACGAATCATTCCTGTTGTGTTGTCAGTCGGACTCCTTCTCCAGCTCTGTGGCACTCTGATGTCTTCTTTTTTCCCAGTACTTGTATGTCTTGGAGCTGTTTCTTTGTTTTTGGTACCAGTGCTGGTCTTGCAGGTGGGATGTGAGCAGTGTGGAAATGGAGGATAGATGCAACTCGGGGAATCAGGCCCTGGGGCTGGAGCTTTATGAGACACTAAAATGATCTTCAGAAGAGCCAGATTCTGGGTCATTGCTTCAACGCTCCGGGTGTGATGCAAAGGACAAAAAGTCGATCAGATTCACCTTTTAAATGGGGATACTAAATGATAACAAGATTTGTTGCTCATACCTGAAGAGGTTTAAAACTTTAGCACTCATATAAACATC